AGTCTAATCGGACCTGATTTGCTGCATTTACTCTCAGCTTTATACTTTCTTTAGTTTCTTCCTTTCTTTTTTTAAACCAGACTCTACTTTATTTAGCTTTTTTCAATAACAGTCCAGAATGTGTACATTTTCAAACTTGTACCACCTAATTGTATTTCAAAAACTGCAACAAATGTGCACACTTCTAATGTTTAAATAGATGTTAATGTTGTAGTAGTTCGGTATATAACAGGTAATATCATTTTTTGGGGGTCAGAGAGTGCCTTTTCTTAGAGATACAGAGTTGACCAAGGCTAACCACTGTTATCCGGCGGCCCTATTATAGGGTATTATAACTGTTTTTATTTGATTCTATATTGTGTACCTACTCTGTAGAGGTTAATGAATGCCTTTACTGTGTATTCTTTACTTCTGGTTTTCCCTAATTTCCCAATTCGAGATCATCAAAGTGCATCCATCTTTCGATCCATATCCTTTTCCAAATGACAGAGAATGAGACTAATCGGCTTAAATGTGTGGATTTTAGCCTGAAAGACTCCCAGAGGTCCTTTTTCTGACATATAGGATGACCATACAAACCATACAAAAAAGATATTGGTCTTCAGGTCCCAGTCCTGATTCCTGCTCAAGATTGTTGTACCATAAATGCTTCATCAGTAAAATTGAGGCTGCCTTTGTTGCTTTTTAAGCTACAAAAATGAATGTAAACAGACTTCAAAGCAAAAGACTGAACCACACTGAATTACATAATCTACATCTGAATTTTGAATGGTGAAACTGGGCCTTCGCTTTCATCTCCAGAAGACGCTTTGTTGCGGAGAGACTCCATCTGCGCGGTGGACTGTGAAAGGAAGCCGAGCAAAGCAGTAAAGCACTGACGGCTTGCGCTAGCAGCAGAATCTTGTGTTCTTTTAGCCTCGTCTTTATTTCGGCAACCAACACCACTGCATCATCCGCGTATTGCTTTAATAGCTTTTCACCGCAAGGTGCTCAGAGTGGAGTCGTTTTACGAAAGCAAGCGTCGGTGATTTTCCATCTGACGTGCGGCTCTGCTCTGCTCTGTAATTAGGACTGAGCTTTCTTTTGATTATCATACCACATGTTGGTAGCCTATGGCAGAGGCTATGGAGCTGCTGACCTTCTCTCCTCCCCCAGGAGAAGGAGGGAGACTGAAAGTGTGTTTGTTGTGAGGCCTGAGAGGCATCTCCAAGTACCTCTATTCCTCTATTTATTTTCTTCCTTTTCTCCCTTAATCTCATTGTCCTCATCTCTCCCATCATCCATTTGGCCTCTCCCACACTCACAGCTTGTCTCTATCTCATCCCATTTTCTCACATTTTCCCCCCTCCCCTTCTTTTTTCTCCTCGCAGCCCATTCACCCAATCTTGGCCACTCTTCAGCCCATTCTCGGCTTTTTATACACTCTATCTCATCTCTTACTTCCATCTATAGTACAAACCCTTTCCATTATCTGTCTCCTTTTCCCTATGTTCTTTTTTTAAGGAGGTTTTTCAGACTACTCTCTTTTTGCCATTTCTTTGATTTAGACCCATTGGAATGGTACGTTTTAGGAGAATATTTGGAACAAAGATGTGTTTTTTTGGAGTTTTGCATTTCTTTCCTGTCATTTGGCTTCATCCTCCTTCTTTCTCTCTTACAGCCACTCTCAAGTCCACTTAGAAAGCAGGACCTGGGGCATCTGTGCTTTCAAACCTTCTGTCACAGTCACACACACACACACACACACACACACACTCACACGCATGTAAACTGACAGATTGACTGATGGCAGGGTTGGGCTCTTGTGATGCTGAGTTGACTTGAGTGATGATGGCCGACTGCGAGTGTGTGTGACAGCGAGAGGAGTCCAACGCCAGCATAGCGGGCTATTGTGCATCATCATATGTGCATGAGAGTCCAAACTGAGTGTTTGTGTGTGTCCTACTAGCAGACCGGACTTATGCTAATGTTTGTATCGGAATGTTTCTTATTCTGTGTGTGTGTGTTGTGTGTGTGTTTTAAAATGCCCTTGTGGTCGAGCCAGAAATACTGCAGGCGTTCAAATCTGGCACTGATCCTCAGCTTGTTCCCTCTGAGGCAGCACTGCCACACACACACGACCTAGAGACACACTTTGATTTGCACCATCTCGTTTGAAGTGCAAGACCCAGAGCCTGACAGCTTATGATTAATATAAGCCCCCCGCCCTCTGCCCTCTCAGATGCACGTGAACACACACACACAACCGGAAAGAGATACATTTTAGTTTTTTTCCGTTCACAACACACTGCCATCCTGCCCTCGCGGCCCGCTGGAGGGGCCGGCTGGCTGGCTCTTTGAACTATTGCTGTGCCGTCACAGCAAGGGCACCAGAGTCCCTTCCCATTGCATCATCTTCACCCACACCTTCATTCGACACTTCCTCATCAATTTTTTAGATTGCCACTCACCGTTTTTTCTTGGCTGACCTGGTCAAAAAAAGTCGACAATCTCATCTTGGAAGATTTCCCAGGCAGAAAGTGAATCTTTTGAGGGGCTTTTAGGATTTTTCGATTGATCTGTGGAGGAGAAGGTTGCCAGGATTTCGGCTGTGGCTAGTTGGGCTTGATTTTAGCTTAATTTAGCTATCTGTGTCCATTTGAATATTAAGAGCAGGTTAATTAGCCCAATTATACAATTGGCTGGATTGGTTGCTTCAGAGAGAGACTTCTTTTTACTTTGGAAAAGCACATACACCAAACCCTTATTAGGACAAAGGCTGACAGTTTTGTCACCTTACATTGCCTGTATCTTGGCCAAAAAGGTCGCACTTTAACACAGCATTTGAAAAAGCCATTTAATTGGATGATTAAAACAATCCCTCTGATTGGCTGATCGAAATATGCCATTTGATTGGGCTGTTGTTTAGCCAATCGCAACAAAACTTTTGATTTGCCAATAAAGACGTGCTCTTTGATTGGCCCATTTGAAATGAAGCCTCCGAGTGGCAGACTGAAATTACCCCTTGATTGCCGAAGTAACCTTCTGATTGGCGGATTGAAACTAGTGATTTAATTGGTCTATTGAAACCAGCCATAGATTTTCCCGATTAAGAAGAGCCATTTTATTGGAGATTTTTGGAGCATTTTTACGGCCTCAATGCTTTTCATTTGTAAACAAAAGAATAATGATTCCTGCAATTTTCAAAAAAGGTAATTTGACCCGACTTCAATGGTGCTTGGACCCTAATAAAAGAAAAAGAGCCATGCATACATTCATGAATGTGAGTGGTAAAACGTATGAAATGATATCGCACATCAGTATAACACAGAGCGTATGTATCAGCGCTCTTGTGTAGACACGCTGTAAAAATGAGGAGCCTACTCACAGCATTGATCCTGCCCTTCATATCATTGGGGGCAATGGAGCGCAGGGAGGTTGTAGCAAAGTTACATTTTTATTTGGAAAGGGAGACATTTGTTTCACCTCATATATTGAATGGAACTCCCCTAGATATGATTCTTCATTTCTGCACAAACCCCATCCGAGTAAAAAAATAACTGCCTGGGGTATTGACTGTTATGATACCTCAATGGTCTGTAAATGATATATCGAGAGAGGACAAACCCTGCGCTTGTTCAGCATCAAAGGATGAAGTGTGCACCCGTCAGAGAGCCTGCATTATTGATGCCTCTGTTAACATTATGAGATCATCTGTCAGCTTGTGAGGCTTTTGAAGCAAGAAGATGCTTCTGTCTAATTTGTTCTTCCCACCTCCCCCCCCCTTCTCCTCTGTTCTGCGCTGCCTCGAGGTCCCACTACGCTCCTTCCTGGATTTATGTAACAGAGTTTTCAAACATGTCAAGGCGTTGTGATTGGACTAACAATCTCCTGCGAAAAGGCCCCTCCACCAGCTTAGTGCGGAGATCTTATTCTCTCGATGGGGGTATCGTTCCGTCTCCTCCCTTTTTTTCCTCTCCCTCTCCCCCGTCTCCTCTCTGCGGGAGTCTGTTATGGACGTCTATACAGTTACGACACGTAGGTTGATCTGCGAGGGCGAGCTTCTCAGGGAGTAGGTGTAGCATCTGAAGACTTCATTATCAAGAGGGGAAATCTGGTGTCTCCTCCGTCCTTCCATCGCCTCCTCTAACTCTCCCTTCTCTCTTTGTGCGTTTCTTTTCCCTTTCTTCCTCTCGACGCCACACAGCAGGGCGCCATTAGCCATTCAGCGCAGAGAGGCCTTGAGGAATTGAAAGCGACGGAGCAGAAAAAGAAAAAGAGAAACTGAAACAGGAAAGGAGACAAGGGGGTTTATTGGGGGGGGAGAAGAGGGCAAGAGGGGATGGAGTGAGGTGTTGAGGCGGGAGCAGACCCAGACAGAGGCACACTGGTAGATGGAGGGATTAGGGATTAAGCGAGAAGATGGGGAGAATGAACAGTTTTCAATGGAGATGAAGAGAAATGACAGAATGCAACAAAAAAAAGTAGGGCCAAGAATCTGAGTAGGAGTTAGGGAGCGATATAGATCCACAGTGCATGCATGGGGTATGCTAATTGGGGATTTTTGAATTATGAATGAGATTAATTACATAGGCAGATGCGAATATATTCATATTTTCTGTCTCTTACTTTACCCTGGACCCCTTTTTTTTAAGATGGTATTTCTATTAGCAAAAGCTCACCTCTTCCCTCCTATCTTTGTTCTTCCCTTTTATCGATTTGCTTCCTTCCAATCAGGCATATGTTGAGTAAGTGCTACTTGGTTCCATCAATACAACTTCAATCGGACACCGTCACCTGACTCTCAATCTCGCTCGTAATATTTCTTTCCCACACGCCATCATCATTACCCGGCTAATGTCGGCGGTGCTTAGCGTGACTTACGAGTCCTCGGGACGCGCCGCGGAACATGATTTGCTGGCTTTTATGGGGCAGTTTGTGCCGTGCTATTTTCTGCTGCCATTTGCATTTTTTGTGTTTCCTGCTCCGTGACAGAAAAATGAATGTGTTCTCCCCCTCAGGTCCTGGCAACATGGAGACTGTATCTCTTCGCTGTCAAGGTGCCCACCAAGGTAAAATGTGCCTCCCCCCCCTCCCCCCCACTCTCTGTGGAATTTGATGGCTTTCACTTGCCAGGCTTGATCTTATGGTAATTCCTAAGAGATGTGACAAAAAAAGCTGCAGACTTTCAGAGGAGATAATAATGATGACTGCGGGGATGATGTTTTTGAATGATAGGGTTTACACTGATGATGATGATGATGATGAAGGTGGCAGCCCGGGGGCACAATGTTAGCTATTTAAGGCAATAGTTTGTCATTTTGGGAAATATTCTTATTCACCTTATTGCCGAGGGCTGCTTTAAAATATCGATAGTATTTAAATACAAAGCTACAGCGGTTTGTTTTCTTAGCTTATTATTTTTTTTAACTGTTTTTCTTTCAACTTGTTTCCTGTTTGTTTAATCCACACAGTCAAAAGGCTTTTGAGGTGCTTGTCAAAATAGCTATCTTTTATCCTGATATTGGTAATTCCTTATCTCGATAACAATATATATCACAGTATAGCATATTTACTAGTAAAATAGTAAATACATACTTAATATTATATAATTAGTCCAGGAACTAGTGTATTGTCTTATCAGATAATATACTTTAGTGCAAAATGACGTTGGAAGTGAAATATATTAAAAATACATTCAGAAAAATTCAAGCTAGCATGTGCCTGTTATAATCATTATTCGGACTATATGATTGTTTTAAATGATTTCAACACTATACGAGTCCATTGAAAGACAACAAATCATTGTAGTGAATAATCACGAGCCCTTCAGTTGATTTGTTTGCCTTCCTCACTTTGAAAGAAAGCTAAATTCCAAAAATGTCCAACTACGTTTAAAGTATATGTTATTTACCATGGGTCCTATTTTGATGTCGTTTTTGCCATTCCTTATAACAGTCATTATAACAGCGCACACATCAGAATAACTGATGAGATCTGGGACAACGGTAACATCACAACAACAAAGACTTAACAGGGAAAGAAACAGGAGCGGTAAATCATACAGGCTGTAAATAAGTCAACAGTTCAAGAGCTTTCTTTTGTTTACTGTGGCACAGTTCCAGTTGAACTATTATGGCATGTTTGGCAAAGAGTTCCACACCCAGCTATAGCTACACTTAGCACAATCCATTGAATTTGCAAAAATACCTGTTGAATGAATATCATTAAAAGAAATAATCTAAGTCAGGGCTGTCCTGAGTTGCTGCATACATGACATCAGCAACAACAGGAAGTAAGCAAGCCAACAGTTTAAACTGAGGACACAACATATTATGAACCCGTCAGTGGAGCGGTGTGCACGACTACAGTTAGCACAGTTAGTCCCCTGTGATGAATGTTAATAGCTAACAGGGTTGTGATTTGACTGTTTTCTGCTCAATTTAGCTTACCTGGGATTGCTTAAAACATGAACGATCCTTTGAGTGTTCATGTTTCTTAAAAGTTTGTGGATTTCAGAAGGGTAAATCAAGGTTATGAACGTTTTTTTCTCAATACTTTAATGTAGTTATTTTTCTCAAGAGGCACACAAAACGAAATGTATTCTGATGCAAGACTCAACCATTATTAATGAAAACAAATCACAAAACATGTTGCAGTTAAATTATAGTACATTGATCAAATCAACATATTCTCAAACTATACCATGTTTTGTCCTTACATTTAAAGGAATTAGCCTTTGCGAAGTCTTCAATATGATGTTTAAGAAGGTGTGAGAACCCTGAATGTCATGTTTTTAGAAGACAATATAATAAGATAGGACTTTTGACAGCATGTCAGCGTGAACCACAGTGATATCTTTCTGCTGTTTCAGACGGAGGTCACCTTCAACTTCCTGGAAATCCGAGCCATGAACACCTATCCAGAACACCAGGTGACAAACCGATAAAACAAATCCTGCTGTTTCATAGCAGCATGACGTCTCACTATTAAAATCGTCATTTGTCCATATACAGGTTGTCATCGATACAGACAAGACCACCTACTCGCTGAAACTCCAGAACCAGGAGCAGCTGGACCACGTGGTCAGCCACATCAACTACTCCCTCTCCCGAGTCTTCAACAACTCCATTTACGCGTAAGAAATCCTGGCACACCCCCTCGCCTCGGGCTGAGTAACAAGTCTTTTCAGTTTTGTGTTTTGTACTGGCTGAGGAGAGAAGACAAGTTGGCGGGCGTTAACGGCGCTCGACAGTCCGCTGACGAGTTGGCAGCTTCACTTTCCGAGGCCGCTTTTCCTCTTCAGCAGCCAAATGCATCCTCGTATTGCTGTCATTTGCATCCGAACCCTTTTTTTCTGTGTCACGGTAGACTTTAACACCCGGCAATCAGCGGGATTAAATCAACCAGCTGACAATGAGGAGGCTGTTACCTGAAGGCAGCTTATTTTGTGTAAGCAAGAAACACACAGTCAATGACGGAGCAATAGAACTCCAGTCAAACAGACTCTTACACGGATGAAAAACCTTCAAGTGGGCCGTGTACGCCCTCTGTACTTCCTAAAGAGTGAAGCACAGAGGGCACACACCAACATAAAAGCCTGTTAAATCCACCCCATGATACTTTTTGTCCCCATTTACGATTTCTAAGAGCAACGGGATTGACTCTGCTCCGCCTATTGACCTGCACAAGGCTATCACCGCACTCCATCATCTTTCCCAATGGCTCTTTTCCATTAGGGCCGCAGCAGATGATTGCTGCCAGTGAGGAAATGTAAAGAGTATAAAGAGAGAGGGGAGGACGGCGGGAGGGAGGGAGGGAGGTAGGGAAGTTGTTGTGGGTTTCACTGCACAGCCTTGTGATGCTGTGTACACAATGCAGATAGTGTCGAGATAACGTGCGCACATATACACACATGGCTCCTGGGGCAGGTGATGATAGTGGAGATAAGTTGGGGATTAAGGTCACCCATGTGGTTAGGTGTGTGATTTGTTGACAAATGGGATTAAGGACGGAGTGTGTTGAAAGCGACAGTATATTGGTGTAATCCTATCAAAAAGCCAAAGCAGGTAGAGCACAGTATTATGAACAAACAGTGTATTAACTTCCTGATCCCTGTCCTCACTGTTTTCTGCTTACGGCATGCGGTTTTTCAAGGGAATAGTTGAAAGAAAACAAGCAGTAAGCACAGGAATATGTTTTTTGTTTTAAAATATAGATCAGCACTAAGGACGGTAGCTTATAAAAGCATCACAGGCATCCAAATGTACAGTTGACATGTTATTTATTCAAAAGCAAAGCAATGTCATAAGCAATTTCCGATTCAATCCTAATTCCACTGTGGCCGACGGGTGCAAACGCTTTTCAACGTCCCAAAACATTTCCTTTAGGAGAAACGCGCTGCAGCTCCAGATTCAGTGCAAATATAAAAACACAAATGTGCCAAAACACACGCAGATGAAGAAACATCTTCGAAACATGAGCAGCGTTTACTGAAAGCTCTGCATAAAACAAAACGCTGAAAATCAAAAACACTGCAAGAAGCTCAAAACGCAACAGAAATAGAGACACTAAAAAGTGAGGCGCACAGCTGAGACCGAAGCGCTTGTTGCCGTTTGGGAGTTTAAGGTTGGCCAGCAACTCAGAGAATGAATCTGTTTCATAATTAAAGATGCTTTGTCACTATACTTGAAATGACTAGGTTAAGGTTAGCTAGCTAGCTTCCAGCAGATCTGCAGTAACATCAGAAGGAATTATGCGAGGAAATGGTTCAAATTAGCCAATCAAACGTCCTTTCAGGTGAGTTTCCAGGGAGCATGACAGTTGAACAGAGCTTTCAGTAAACGCTGTGCATGTTTCGTCAAGTTGGTGAAGATGTTTCTTCATCTGCATGTGTTTTGGCTGTTATAGCGCCTTTGTACCTCCGTATAATTCTGACTGGAGAATATAAAATGTGCAGAAGAAATTAGCATTCTGCATTAGGACCGTTTTATTATTTTAAAACATTTTATGCTGCTGTGTTCTGATTAGTAACACCGTTTGGATTTAAATGTTAAGTTCTTAGGTGTATGAGAAAGTATTTTTACTCATATCATTAAGGGTGCTAGCAGGCAGTTGAAAAGTTAAAGTCTTGATTATTCTCACCTGGGACTACCGGTGTGGGGTGTTGGGAGTTCAGTGCCTTGCTGAAGGGCACTTCAGCAATAGGAGCTAAGGGAGTGGGAAGCGTAATATTTACCTTCCTCTTATTCCCCAACGTGTAATTGGGACCAGAGGCTTTCATAACACTGCTTCTTAAAAGTCAAGGTAGTGCTCCTCCTGAGTGTGCTGTAGGGAAGCTTCACTTATAATGTTAACTATTTGAGTTTTTTTCATTTAGTTAGACACAGTCATTTTGCATAGTTGTGTATAAAGATAATGCTACACTATTGTTAATGGGATACTATTTGTTGATTTGGATTACGATGGTTTCCAACTCTTTCCAATAGTAATAGGAGTGTTGTTAAAATCAAAAGTGAACATTAAAATGAAATAAATAGATAACTTTCAAACTTCAAAACATCCATAAGAGTATATTTCATTCAGCAATGTCCTAATGAATGTCCCACTTGGACTAGGCTGGAGTATAATGGAAGTCATTAGGATTCATCCTCTGGGCACCATGAATGTCTAAGCAGAATTTCACCCCCATTCATATTCTAACTATTAAGATAGTTCAGTCTCAACCAAAGCTAAATCCTTTATGAATTCTTTTTGACTTTTGTGATCCAATGATTTCTCTATGGTCTGACACTGTGGGCATCCCCTCAGATAAAAGGAGACAGACTGTACAGTGCATTTCCTTCTGAGACCTTGGTTTCCTTGCTTGCTAATCTCCTTCAGCACTCTCCTCTCTCCTGGTAAAACCTGCAGTCTCCATATGTGGTGCCGGTTGCTCGTACTATCTACCTCTTTACATCCAAAAATGTAACACTGAGGCCGTCATTGTGCATGTTAGCGTGAAGGACTTGGAACGTAGTTCATAGGTTTGCTGTACCTAGGAACGACTTTAAAGAGCTAGTAGCATGGCTGTTTTTTGTGGCCTCCTTTTTATTTGATAACCTGTTTCCAACTTTACATTCAACATGGAAGAGAACCCCATGTATGTCTAATCAAGCATCTGAAATAGGAAATACATGTACGTTACAGATGTCTATACATTTACAGGAACAAGTTGCATGGATTTAAATACAAAACTAATGGTGTCTGTCAATACAATAAAAAAAGAATGTCAACTCAGGACAACCTAAGATAATGACATTGGTTTGATCTGCTCAGGTCAAGAACTTCAAATAAATTACAATAAATAATTGTAACTTTCAATGAAACATCCTATGACCTAAACTACTGTATAACCATCATGCTCCCATCCATCGGTATGCAACCTTCCCCAGCTACCCAGAGTTCATAGTTCTTTTAAGATATATATTTATAATTGGACCTATATATCAATGTTTTTCCTTTTTTTGGGGTGGCGGGGAGGGGGGGGGGGGTTTATTGAAGTGTCAGTGTAGAAAGGGGGAGACGGAGGGGTGACGCCAGCTGTAACAACTGAGCTATACGGCCGATTCCTACTCTCTTTTTGTGTTAAATGTTTTCCCTATAAGCTGTCAATACATGAAATACAAAAATAATATGTGGTGGTTACTGGTCCCTTTTAATTTGAACATGATTAAATGCACCCGTTCACCCAGTGCAGCCCAAATTGGTAGATTACAGGAAGCATAATGCAAACAAATTGTGCAACATACAGTATAAGCGTATACGAATATACAAATATAGCCATGGCTGTAGACTCTTTTATGGTTTCAACCAGTTCTCTCCGTCTTCTTCGTTCAGCCCTCCAATCTGTCGTGCAGAAGGAGACGTGACCGATGGAAGTATCAAGTTTTCAGCCAACTCCGAATCGTCATTGGATCCCCAGAAAACATGCGGTAAGTCTGCTTCCGTCTACATATTGCACAAAACCCGATCGGACACACAGTTCAGAGTCCACACAGTTCAGAGTCCATCCACTCCCGCTGACTCAGGGCGAATCTTTTTGGAGACTCATCCTAAAGTGGGTCAGCAGACCAAAGTTGCTGAATGCTCTCCTCTCCTGCTCGTAATCCCATTAATCTGCAAGAAGTGCTCTTTCATGCTGCAACACTTTCATCTCACCTCAATATGTACTGCTAATCTCTCTCTGCTCTTTCTGCCTTCCTCTTTCATCTCTGGCCTGCTTTCATCCATACTTCCATTACCCTGCTTTATTCTGTCCTGATCCATTGTGACCTTATTATTATTATAATTATTCATATATGTATAGTTTTATTATATCTTGAAACCCCTAATTGATAGTTTGTGTCGTGTTTTTCACTCGTTTCCCCCCATAGTGCACTTGTTATTTGTGTTTGGGTGAAGGGAATAGTCAAATAGTCTATGGTGGCCGAAAACACTTCCATTAGGAAATGAACATCAGCACATTGTATTTCATTCTTTGCATATTTATATTCCTTGTAAACATTTTTATTTTTATTTTATAATGGTTTATATAATACCTATGCGTGGATATATCTTACAACATTCTCTTGCACTTTTCTATTTCTATTCTGTTATTTATTTTACCATTTTTAATTGGTTTTCTTTGTTTGATGTCCTATATATATTCATGTTGCACTGTTAGAGACAATAAAGCCTTGAATCTTGAATTCTCAAAAAGCGCTATAAATATTCATTTATATTTCTTTCATAATATTCTTCACTATAGTTTTTAAAGTATTGCTATATTCTTCCCTGGCTTTAATGTTTTCAAAAAGTGCTATAAATATTCATACATACCTACAATTCAAATAATAATGTTTTTGATGACCCCTGCCTACCATGTGTCTATCACTACAATAAGACAAATATTTCACTTCCATATATAATATGCCTTATTTTTACATTTTAATTGATCTTAGTCTGTTATGTTATGCAACTTTTAAACACCAAAGCAAATTCCTTGTATATTCCTCTCCACCTTTCAGGAGGTTTTTCTGAGACCTATGCGGCTCTTTGTGACTACAACGGAATCGGCTGCAAAGAAGAAGTGCAGTGGGTAAGGACGTTTATACATGAAATATATCTAATTACGTTTTTTTCTTTACTTACTTTGTTTCCTTTCTTGTCATCCTCCCTCTCTTCTCTCCCCTCCTCTGCTCCAGGATGTCGACACCATCTACCACTCTCAGGACAACAGGGAGTTCAACCTAGTGGATTTCAGCCACCTCGACAGCAGGTGACACACTTTGTTAACACTTATACCACATCCAGTCTGATTACAGTTTGCCAGCATGCACTGATTGCAAAGACACTATGAATGGAAGCCAAATGTACACTGCAGCAGCCCTCAGTGCAATGTGTGTGTGTGTGTGTGTGTGTGTGTGTGTGTGTGTGTGTGTGTGTGTGTGTGTGTGTGTGTGTGTGTGTTCCAGAACATTACATTTGAAATGAAGCAGTGAAAATGAGGGTTAAGTGCTGACTTTCAGCGTTTATTTAAGGATGTTTAAATTCACATCAGTGGGCATTTAGGGGACAGGAAGTAGTTGGGGTTAATGCGTGGCTCTCTGTAACACACAGATATTTGGCATTTTCGTTTGTGATGCTTCGCCAGATTCTTAGCAGCCATTGTTTATCGTCCGATTTTTTAACTTTCTTATCCTCAAAGTTTATGTAATTACTTTACAAGTTTAATGATATGCTGATAGTCTCAAAAGTTGGAATTTTGGACAGAATATTTTTCCTATTTTACTCAAACTTTCCACATCACACTTATGTAAAGCCGTTCACTCATATGCACTTTGTCTTCTTCTCGGATGTTTGTTTTCTTCTGATTTCAAGCCAGCCTTGAGAGAAATGGCATTAACACGCCCACTTGCTCGCTCTGCATGCACAATGATTTACAAAATTCACGATCAGGGTCAAATTGAATTCTCATATACGTGTGTTGTATAGAGTATGTGTGAACATTTACCATGAATGTCTCCAAACTAAATTCGATGTCATGAAGTCCAGCCGGTACATTTTTAAGGTGAGCTCCGAGAAAAAGGTTCCCCTTTATCGAAGGAATTTGAAAACAGCCTTCTTTTTTCAAACTCTGCACATCCACACATCATTCTGCACAGTGGAGGTCAAACTTCAGAGTGAAGCAACAGTGAGAAAACACTTTTCTGAGACGACGAGGGACCCATTTTCGGAAAACAATATTTGGCCAATTTTCTTTAGCAATTGCCAATCTATTGTACCAGGTTATTTTGTAGAAATATAAGTTAGTTTACAGGGTATGAAATAAAGGTGCTGCGCTGTATATCCGCTCCTAATAATGTCCCCAGCAGTGGAAAATATTACACCCTGTTGTTCCAAGGCAACTACCAGGAAAATATATCATTATCCACCATACTGTGCAGGCAGAGCTGCTGTGAATGTAACTAGGCTATGGACCAGTGTGATTATTCTTCCCCCAGTCAGAGTTGGCTGAAAAATCATGTTATTCATGACCCCTCTTGTTTGTTGCATTGCAAAAGCTCTTCACCTTAGCCTTAACTTAAAGCAGAAGTCTTGTCAAACTAATTCTTCCCTGGGAATTATTTAATTTGAAATGTGTACTGTATCCAGTGTTGAATTTACACTCTCGTGGCACTTGGTCCAAATGACGGGGTCGTATCTTTCTTTAGATTCCTGTATCAAGGGTTAGGGTTAATATATTCCCAAACTTCACTTTCCCTGGCAACATTTTCCTAGGGAGGCAGGAAGGTAGCATCCTTATGAGGTGCCCGGACCAACTCATCTGGATCCTTTCTATGTAAAGGAGCACTGGCTCTACTCAGAGTAGATTACTGAACATTTCACCTCATCCCTAACTCTGATGCCAGCCGCAGCTTATATTCGCAATCTCTTTCTGTCGGTCATGACCCACTCTTCAAATCCAATTAGACTTCTTTTAAGACATTAACATGTGTAGCTGGCCGATTAATTCAGTCAGCCTTCTTTATTCAACCAATACACTTTATTTACATCCCATTTTTGTTTCGGTGCAGATACAAACTGATATATCCTCTTTTATTGCATTTCTGATAGAACATCTGCTCAAGGAGGTTTTAGGAGTTGTTTTCTTTGCCCCCAGTGGTCGATGCACATGCCATGGGACCTGTAATTCAACCTCCATATTCCATCCCCACCAATCAACCAGGACTGAAATCTGTGGGATTGTAACTGCAGCATTTCATTTCAAACCCACTGTGTAGTCCCAAAGCAATAACAACATATCATTGTCCTAATACTTTGAGACTGAAGTTTTGAAAGACTTTCCGTCCTCATTCTGCTTCACGATGTTCTGCAAGAATTGTTTTCCAGACTTCTGTCAGCCCTGTTCTTATCTGACAGGAGAGTGGCTGCTGGTTTAACAAGACCCTCCCTGGGTAAAGTGTTAAGTGTATTGGTCTGTCGTTCCCTTTCTGGCTCACTTGTTGTCCTGTTTCTCTCCTCAGTTTTTTAAGAAGTGTTGAAAGATGAGCTTGTCGAAGGCAGAATCCAGCACTCACAAACAGCTGTAAAATGCCATATGTCGTCTCCTCTACTCCCTGCTGGTATCTTTTGAAATCCCCCATTTGCTTTCCCAGACATATTGAGGAAGAGTGTACGTGCCGTAGAGTGCTGCCGATCATAACAACATTTGACAGCTGACATGCAAAGAGAGCATTCAACATGGCTTCCTCATCTTTTGATTCGAGGAATGTTTTGTCCATAGGCCTTTGGGAATTATTTCTACTTTTCCGTGTAGAAACAACAATTCCAACTGGAGGGGATGCATTCCTATTTAAAAATGTGTTTCTAATAACACCGTAGAAGCGAAGCCTTGTTATGCTGCTAAATCAAAAACCCATTCATAGAAGCTCGATTGCAGCAGTGACTCATGAATATATTAATATTGTTCATATTGAAAATCGCGTCATCGCTGTTGTTTATCCTCCAATATTTTAAATAGTGTGATAAAGAGAGAGCCTTTGCAGGGGAAGCTGCATACCCAATGCTTTTTTTATATCTTCCTATAAAATATTGTTCCCTTGAGCCCACAATAGAATGATTAAGACTCTCTCCCTGCTTTTCTACCCAACTTGTATCAAAGATTTAACAAAAGTACTCACAGAAAGGAATCACAAAGACATGCAGAGAAACAATGAACAAAGGGTTCAAATGAGTGAAGAAAGGATATACAAAAAAAAGGTCTTTGCATGATGGTGTGCCAGAAACCATTTTGGTGCATTACTTTCCTTCCTCCTCTTCTTGTCCTTCCGTATATACATCCTTTCAATCTACCCTGATCGAGCCCATCTGACGTTACCGCGAGCAACAAAGCAATGCCTTTTTCTGCTGACTGCTGTCCGTCCAAACATCGGCTCCACTCATGCCGCCTGACTGAAAGTAGACACCTTTTTTTCTGGCCTTGTCTCGTCCTGTTCATATTCCCTCCTTCACTATTTATTTCCCCCAGCTCTGTTCTTCTAGCTGTCTTCTCTCTGAATCACTCCTCTCATCACAAACAAACACACGCGCTTTGCCTGTCTCTGTTACTTCTGTCTAGCCACTGCAGGTTTACACAATATTGCAGAATGGACTTTCACCGTGGCTGATTTCTCGTACTTTGCTACTTACATTTGCTATTGCGAGTTCATAAGTGTGTCCCAGTATGAAGAATTGCAAAATGCAGTGCACTATGAGAAGGGGCACTCAAAATGGTTAAAAGTTTAGTTGGGAACACTCAAGCCCCCAGAAATTCTTCGGACTCTGAGGAAAATATTCGTAGTGGCCAAACGGCGGTACTACAACTTCCGTATCTGTCCGTGAAATCACCTGGCCCAGAAATACTTTTTCCCACTGACTTACATTGGGTAAGAGACGTCTCTAAATCAGCAGATACTTTACTTAGAGATTTGGGTATGGAGGAAAATAGAGAGGGTTGTGTTTTCTGACACTTGGTGAGTTCCCTGGAACACCAGGGACACATATTCATGTATAAAAGACGTACAAAAGTGCATTTTGCATGATAGGTCCCCTTTAAGTTTAAAAGTTGTAAAATGTGCTAAAAGCCAATCCAGATGTATTTTCTCTATCCATACATTCTACTGAGCCGAAAGCGTGAGATCGGGGGCTTAAGGGGAAACTCAACTGGGCATGCTCTGTGTGTGCACATACGGGTACTTCTGCTCTGACAGCCAGGCATGACAGGTAATTTGTCACGCTGTAGCCAGTTCTGATTATGCATCCATGGGAACGCTGGACACTTCAACGGTCGCCATCTTGGCTACATAACGGAAGTTGTGCAACCAGCTGCAATTGCGATTGCTCAGGTGAACACGGCAATATAAAATAAAGTTATACACCAGTGGTTCTCAACTGGTGGGTCGCGACCCAAAAGTGGGTCGCAGACCCGTTTCGAGTGGGTCGCAGATGTGAGTGAAAAAAAGAAAAAAAAAAGAAAAAATCGGCCCGATTTTCTAATGCTGTGCATGCAGTAGGCGTTGGATTGGAAGTACCGGAGACCATAAACGGTTCTGAAAACTTCTGTCACGTAGTGATCATCTTCTCAATAAAACATCTTTGCTGATGTTTTTTCGAGTCTTCTGGCCAATCAGAATCAAGATTGTTGCCGGAAGTCCCCATGGTGAATAACTTTGATGTAGAACTACTCTTTATACATCCATGGGTACAACTTCAGATAAAAATGAACACATAATGAAATATGACCCCCGGTTTGATGACTGACAGGTCACAGAACAATGGGGGCTATCTACCCTTACCCACAATGTAAAGTAATTCACACAAACTATCTCCTCTTTGCTCTTCTCTGTGTGGAGCAGCAAGTTCAGCTTCAGAACAAAGTGAAAAACAAACAATGGCATAAAATATTATTAATATGTCTGGTAGTAATAGATTTATTTATTTTCTTCTCAGAGTGTACCAGAATGTGTAGTTTATATGTTAGTATTTCAAAAAATCTCCTGGGGGAGAACACCCCCAGACCCCCCTTCTGGGGTTGGGTTTTCAGCATGTCATGTTTTTCACGTGTGGTGAATTTGCAGGATTGGCTCCAAGTCTGCCTTTTTATTGAGTACAATACAAGTGTGCCTTTTTATGTCATACAGTTCAGCTTTGATTCTAGAAACTTGATGGCCATCATGTCATTAAACCCACTAATAAGCCTGGATGCCTTGTCCAACTTTTCTCCAACTTCTCTGTCTGGATTGTTCGTTCTCTTACTGGAGCAGGACTGGAGCTCTACAGCTCACTGCTACCGTCGGCATTACCTGTCAATGTTAGAGGAGTCACTGACTGTCCGGTGTTAGACTGTAGCATTGATTTATTACCATACAGCCTCTTTGCGTGCTTCAAAAACCAATCATCTTCCATCTGGCTATGTAGGGTGGTTGGATCAACCGTCAGCCAAATTGCTGTCAAATCTATTTTGAATATTTATAATATAAGTGCACGATTCCTAAGGAATTTAGTGCCTTTTGACCTTTCTGCCTCTAGTGCCAACAATTAGGTCAGAATATCCACCTTCGATGGCCAGGATATTCTCACAAAGAGCCATAAATATTAATTCTAAGGTGAATACAAATGTTTTGCCGACCCCTGGTGACCTTTTGTCTAACACTACAACAAGAAAAATCTTTCACTTATTTCACACAAATCTAATGAGCACCAAGCCATGACTTTTACACTGCAGATCAATTCTCCTGAAAGAATGAACTCTGTTTATTGTGGACGCCTCATGTCCTTCCCTCAACTTAAACCCACAAGCTATTACATTATCTAATAGGCTTACTGCCATGAGATGCTGTGAGCACAGTCATGCACCCAGGGAGCCTTTGATTCAGAGGACCCTGTGACCTTTTCGCCTGTGAAATCTCAGGATAAATGATCTCTTAGCCTTTTTCAAGGTCTATAGAATATTATAATCATAATTCTCTGTTTTCTGTAATACATGGAGCCTTTAAGGTTTCCTAGATGGTCATCCTCGGATCATAATAACGTTTTCACCCATTCATGATCGTTGAATGGCCAGTAAAAGCCTCATAAAGCTCCGAAAGGACTTGGATATTGTCAGCTCATGCTCTATCGGTTATTTTGATTCCCAATTGGGTGTCTGCTCGGGTGGACATGACTTCATGTAGATGTCTGCATGGTAAGGCTGCACAATATATAGTTTTAGACAAGACATGGCCAAATACATCGCAAGAGGTGCAATATCGGCAGATGAGCTCACTGTGGGAAAATTATCTCCCATGTCGTGACCAGCTGAACGTCCTGGGTTAAGGTGGCTAACAACCTACCCGACCCCTCTTTAACAACAAGCCTGTCAATTGATATGCTTTGTGAGTGTGACCTTGTGCTGTCATCTTATACAACCAATGCTTTTACGATTAATTTGGTTATATAAACTCTTATTTCGTCCTCAAAGTGCCCAGATCGATGCAATTACATTTTTTCAAATAAATGTTTCTATGTTATGTGGAAACGAAGGTTATTTATACTGCAATGTATATTGCAAAAAAAGTAATACTATGTTTCTTTTTTTAATATTGCGTCTGTAGAGAAAATATGGCTAGCTTAAAGGTCCCATGACATGGCCATTTCTACTGATCATAATTCCATTGTTGAGGTCTACTAGAATAGATTTACATTTTTCAATGTTCCAAAATCACATTGGTTTCTCACCTATGGCAGCCTGGCTGTGAGTTTGTGTGTGTGCTCAGGCTGGGTTTCGTGGTGTAAAAAATCAGCGGAGCCGCAGCTGAGAAAAGATAAGGCTGAGTGTGTGTGTGTGTGTGAGGAGATCCACGGATTGGTCCATTTGGACCTGGGTATGGTCATGTCACTATACTCAGGAAGAAACAAATGGAAAAAGAAAAATCTCCAACGAGGCGTTCTGGGTTAGAGTTTTACTCGCTACAGGGTGTATGGTTTGTGACTGCAGACCGTTTACATGCAGAAAAAGCTTCATAACACACAAGGGGACGGGTAATAACCGGAAAAGCATGACATGGGACCTTTAACATCTCATCATTTCTATAGCAAAACAGAATAGCTAATTGGCTGCTGGTGGCCGGAGCTTTTTATTGACAGACATGTCTCTCCGCCAGAGAGTGGATAGGCATATTTTCCATATATATATATATATATATATAATTTCCCTGGCAGCCTTAGACCATACACAGTATACATATACATCAAAGTAGGGTCTTTGTTTGCATTGGTTTATATAAAACGTGTCATTCACCTTATTACATACTAATGTGTATTTGTAAGCACTGTCCAAACTAGAAAGTTCTCTAAATCCCTTACCCCCGATTTAATTTGTACTTTACCCTAAATCTAGACTATTTATTATCTGATCTTATCCTAAAATTAGTTTCCTGTCCCAAACCCAAGTAGATCAGATTGTATAAGTGTAAAGAAGTTACCTGCAGTTACATTACATTACATTGCATTTAGCTGACGCTTTTATCCAAAGCGACTTACAATAAGTGCATTCGACCAAGAAGATACAAACCTGAAGAAAACAGAATCATATAAGTACATCAGGTTTCATAGAGCCCAAACATTTCAAATGCTACTCAACTGGCTTTAGATAAGCCAGTCCTTTATTAGTATATAAGTGCTTTGTTAGTATATAAGTGCTTAGTTAGTATATGAGTGCTTTAGTTAGTATATAAGTGCTTTGTTAGTAATTGTATTGCTCGAAGTGGAGTCGAAAGAGATGAGTTTAGTCCAAGACGACACATGAACACCAACTCGCCGCATGACTGAGTGAAACCTCATAGAGGTCAATTACATGTCCTGCTGTCAAAACATGAATCAACAGTCAGTGTTGATGATGAATCTTGACATCTTCTGCCCTCTCACACACACACAGACTCCGATGCGTCAGTCAGAATGAACTGGTATGCAGTGATGGCTAGCCCGGTAATGAAAAAGGAACACAGCCTGAAGCCGTTTTTACCCCACGGAGATCTACACTAATATCTGGCTACTGCAGTTACTGGCAACAGGACCCCTCTCTGGCTAAATTACAATTTCTCTTCCTCTCTTTTTCACTTTGTAGTTTCCCTATGTCTCTCCTTTTTTCCCTCTCTCTGGGCTTATTCTCTTTCTCTGCTTGTTTGTCAGATGATATATAGCAGGTGTAGCAGCGGCGTGGCATTAGTTGGACCTCGGAGGATTCTAAAACTCTCTCGCTTTCTCCTCTCACAAACACCCAGAGGATGGTCTCAGTGTAGCAGTGGATGTAGGAGTGTTTGAGGTCTGCAGCTAGGATCAAACTGTGGCTTTATTGAATGAGTAATCCACTGACCCCGGCATCGATCTTTCCATCTTTCTCTTTCCCCCCCCCCCCCTTTTCCTTATTCTCTGCTTCTTCTCCTCCTCCTCCTCGGCAGGGCTGCAGTATCAGTCATCTTTTAGAAAGCAGCCCTGCCCCGAGTGTGCTCCCTGTCACAATGATGAACTGCTTTTTACTAAACGGGGCATAAAGAAAAAGAAGTTTGGCCCACGATAATGTGAATTTATGGATCAATAACATCAAATGGTTTGGAGCAGATGGAGTTTGCTCATTTAAAGGTTTGAATCTCTCTAATATGTGTGTGGGTGTGTGTGTGTCTCCATTTCAGGGACTTGGCGGTAATCGTGGCATCCATTGCGTACAACACCTGGTTCACCAAGCTGCACTGCAAAGACATGCGCATAGTAACTATCTTCTTTTTAATCTTCCTCTCTTTTGCTAGATGGTTACAGAATGGTTAGCATTTTCAAAGTCAACATGAATCAATATGGCTGTGGGTTTGTAACCAATTCATCGTGTATTGTACATAGATCCTCACTGTATTGTCATTACATCTCTTGAGATGACATACTAAATGAAAGCAAGTTAAGAAACCCATGATTGAAAGAGAACAGTGAGTCAGCATTGTTTTATGTTCCTATTAAAGAGGATGTGAACCTTTATTAAATATTCATATTGTGCATTAGAGTGAGTGGAATCCATCTTAAGTGAAAACAGTCAGTTAAACAAACAAGTATTATTTGTAATGTAATATCAAATATCTTGATAATTAATGCCCCTCATATGTGGTTTCAAATTTCAAAAGAACCGTTTAAAACAGAGATTTTGGCACCTAGAGTGACTACCAGTCAACAAACAAACCAAAAAGGACAACCAGCAGTTTTTTGGTTGGCTGCCTCGGTCTGAAAACATGGGAGTCAACAAGCCCTTCAGATTTGTCTCCCATTCCTGAATCACATAACGGCTTCTAAGAATATACCGTTCCAAGTTTGAGTCTCTACCTACACAATTTCTTCATTTGGCAGCGCAAGGTTGAGTATTGCAACAAACTGAACCCCCCTCCCTTTCAAGACTCATACATCTCTGTAGTTTGTTTTTTCCTTGTTATTTTAGAGGGTCTGAAGTGGACAGGGCTTAGCTCAAAAATGTTGATGATTATTGATTTTTTTCCATACTTGGTTGACTGAAATTGTCATTATAATCTGATGACAAAATGTGGTATTTGAAACAAGCTTTAATGAAAGAAATAATAGGGAGAAAATAATTTGACCCGTAAATACTTAGTACTAAAACAGTAAAATATTTCAAGTTACCTTCGATTAAGATATTACATAACAATTACAAAAATGTGCCTAAAATACGCATTTTCATTATGAGACTGGACTTCTTTGAGGCTGAAAAAAGAGTTCTGATTATTGATTTTGACATAATTCTATTACATGTATATAATATAATCTGATAACCCAAAAAAGTAAACAAAATTATAATTAAAGGAAAAATCTTAAAAGAATAAACATTTGACTAGTAATGACTAAAAGATGTCTGAAGTTTCATGACTTTTCATGACATGTTCTTTCTAACGAGTCAGACTAAATCTAAAATATGTGCCGACATCAACTTTTCTCAATACGTCTAGACATCGTCCATGACGCTATTTATCTTAATTTAAAGGGAATTTAACAAATGACTGCCTTCACAGAACCACTTCAAAAGTACAACCCACTCCGTTTTGTGTGTGTTGTAGTTGCTAAAATATAATAAATACATGTTTGTCTTAAGAAACTAAGAGACAGATATTGTAGACCAATATCACCTCTGCTCATGTACATCTAGACATAGTCCTTGAGGCTATTTATCTCATTGTGCATTTAGCTAATTGTGGCTTTCACAAAACTACTTTGAAAGTGTAAAATCAGCAATCCATGAATCAGGCTTTACCGATCCTAATCAGACTTCGGTTGCTTCAGACTACTTCTTGCCTTTACATCCTCTTCCTTTTGAGCCCCCTCGTCCCAGGAGCCTTCAGGTTTCTTTCTTCTTTTTCCTCCAGGGGTCCGAGGTGGTGGACCAGGTTCTGCACACAGTCAGCAAGTCCAACACTCTGGAGGAGCTCACTCTGGAGAACGCAGGACTGAAATCGTAGGTTTGACATCTTCCTCCCGCCCTGTGACCTCTCCGTTAATCTAACTTCCTCTCCTTTTCTTCCTCTCCTCCCACCTTGTCCTCTCAGACAACACCTACCCCTCTTCTCTTTTGTCCTTTTTATAATCGCCCCGGTTTTTTCGCTTCCCTTTTCTCTGCTTTGCTTGTACTCTTTCTTCCCACTTCCTTCTCGTCTCACCTCTTCACCTCAGCTCTTCCCACCTCCCCTCCTCACCCCTTGTGTGTTAACCTTTCAAGTTCTGTCTCTCCTCTTCTTTCTCCCTCTCACACCTCTGTTAACCTTCTTCAGATAAAGGTCTCTCCTGTCTGTGCGTGGTTATTTTCCCCACGTTTGAGAATATCTTTGGGCTTCACCTGGCGAGAAATCTCCCCTTCTATGCATCGTTAGGATCATTTAGCAAAGTCTTTTTCTTTATTACGTATTCATTGAGATGAATTGGCTGCCTCAAGGCCACAGGATTTATTGCAGAATAATGATGAGGTACCAAATGTTTATATTTTCAATGTGTTAAACTTAATAAAGAGGGCAATTTGTATTTATGCTCCAGACAAGCACTGCACCAAACTCTAACAGGGAAGAAAGATTTTATACAAAGATGCTCAAAGAGTGCAGTGAATGTTAAAGTGTGTGACTTTATAGACTCCCACCTAAATACCATACTTCCTATCACCTTTTCAATATGTGATTCAAGAGATTTCAAAGTAATTTGCTGGCACAAATGAGAAAGTACAGCACAGTAAGAAAAAAAGTGTCTTACCTTCAAAAGCTTTTCCTTTCAAACACTTGTTTGCAAGTACATCAAGTTCTTTAAGTTCAAAGCTTTTCTCAAATGAAACAGCTTTGAACGACTCGTCATGTTTTATTATGTCGTCACTCGAATGAAAAGATGAAACAAAAGGTGTTTTTGTTTTTTAAATGTAATTTTATAGTGCCGTTAGACTGCCTTGTTTATACAGGTGCGTACGCGATGCAACTATTCAATGCAGCCCTCGAAAATATATGTTTTTCTGCCAGTCCTGACTTCACATGCTCATGCTTGACGGAAATATTTCTAAGTGAAGTGGGATTGATCCCAAATAAGTCATTGTCATCTGCAGTTACATTAGCTCCTAGCAAAAATATTAATATATTTATTTACGGACATTTCTAGAATATCCAAACCGTTGTCTCTATTCAATATTATTGAAATTCACACCAATGACAAAAATCATTACCCAGCATATCAATATAAATATAGTGATAACAACCAATAATATACATGCATTTTTAAATACTTAGCTTTTATTTTGAAATGTATAGTATGAGTACATCTTAAGTCAACTTTAGCACAAAAGTTTTTTTATATGAAATAAGGTAGCGTCAGTAGCCTTTGTAGGGACTCGGGGGAAAAAAGGTTCACCGGTTCAAGTCCCGATCAAACATGTGTGTGTTCAGACCTAATGTGTACAGGTTCTGTTTATGTATGCATTTGCACTGGTGTGTAAAGACTAACAATGAAAAACCAAATGTCTCCTTGTGGGATTAATAAAGTGGCTTCTTCTTATTTTCATCTCTGAAAAAGGGGCAGCTTCTTGAGTATTTTCATTTATTAACAGTAGGTTTAATAATGAAAAATTACCTGGTACATTTAGTTGCATAAAGTAAATCTATCTGGCAGATTTTACACCAGTATTGAATCAGCAATGTTCACAATAGCCTCATATTCCTTCTTCTATAACGTTTTGTCTCCAGGGACTTTCCGCAGAAGATGGCGTCGGCGCTGTCTGAGAACCCGACCTCTGTGATCCACTCCCTGAACCTGGCTCACAACACGCTGGACAACCAGGGTAACTCCTCCCAATCTGCTGCTGTGTCTCTGAGGGCACCGCTGATTGTTCTTGTGCTCTTAAAGAATTCAAAATCAATGACTATCCTCAGAGAACCTTTACTTTCTGTTCCTCCTCATCTATCTTTCATATAGGACTATATAAGGTCCTCCTCTCTTGAGAAATCCTTTTATTTTTATCGTCTCGCCAACAACTCGCCTCACTAACTGAACCTCTTACAGAGCAACGTGCATCATAACCAATAATGTTTTTCTACTATTCTTAATTAATCTAAGTTTGTTTTTTTAATGTAATGTTGGAAGCAGCGTTTCCGCCAGGGGGGCGTCTTGCCGTCATTTGACAAAAAAATAAATAATTAGAGAGAAGATCTAGAGTTTTTATCGCTTGAAATGACGAAAAAGGACAAGGACATCCCTCTGTTGGAGGGGCAAAGGAGTCTGGTGGGATTCTTTTCGCCGCCAGCAAAGCCTGTTCATGTGACGGAAAGTGTACTGCCGGCGAGCCTTGACGGGGGGTGCTAGTGGAGCACGCGCGTGAACTGCGAGCGCCGGAGCCTCGCAGCGGCGAAACTGAGGCTCTGTGGTCAACTGAAGAGCCGTTTAGGAGCCGAAAGAGTCACTGACTAGTAACTAAAAAGAGCCGGAATTCCCATCACTAATACGTAAAGAGATAGTATAAGGGACGGCTCAATTCAAAATTCAAGTCACGTGACACAACGTGACGTCATAGCTTATCAAAAATCTTAACTTCACATCAAGGTCCAAGAAAACAACAATGTCTCACATATTATTATGGCCCACATAGTAAATACATCACCTTAATCACCACCTTACAAGCATCTTATGGCACATGTGTAAAATAAGTGTCATTCACTCTTTTTCACAGTCAGTGAGATGACTGGCACTGCATGGAGTCCACCAGAGGTGTATGCTGGAGTGTACCCACTTAGGTTCACTCTAATAGAGTCATTTAAATGTTCATCAGTCAGTCTTGTTCTGTATTTAGATGTCATTCATGTCAGAAAAAGCTGCTTCACAAAGGTATGTAGAGCCAAATAAAGCAGACATGTTCAGTGCTGCTTGGTGAATGTTCTAATAGTTTTCTGGGTCTACAAGGCTCCAGAAATGTTGTGAGTTTTGCTGAGACTTAAGCTGAACATGATTTTGGAGATTTATAACCTCCATCTCCACAGGATTGACACTGAACAGTTCAGCCATCTTTTTCTTCTTCTTCGTCTTGACATTAAATGATAAACCATAATAAATCAATTGTATAGGTCCTCCCTATGTCTGTGTGTGAAATTGTTCCATCCTCAAAAACAAAAAACGAATGCTTCTGCAGTCTAGCTGCAGCTTCTAGCTACGGTCTTCTGTTAAAAAAAGGACACTGAATGTCCTGAATGTGGCATCACACACATGACTTGAGTCTGAACACAGCAGACAACAGGAGATTTACAACAGCATATAAAAACAAAAATAGTGCATGTGGGTGCACACTTATTCTCTGTCTTACTGTTACATAAATCCCATGAATGTATGAGATTAAGTTAGCTTCATTATATCTCAATCAGTGATTAAGTGAATAATAAAGTTTCTATCGGGTCACTATCAGCCTGTCACTCATTATTTACATGGAGGGGTTTGGAGGAACAGAGGAGACGGTGATCGTGGAAGCTTTCCTCCTGCCTTCACAAACTTTACACAAGTATTTATCAACTGAAAATAGCAAGAGGACATTCATACTCTGCAATCCAAGACTTGATTAAATCCACCAAAAACCTGACATGACGATAACGAGTGTTTTTCAAAAAACACAAATCCCTGTGTGTCTCTGAGCCGCAGCGACAGGGCCTGATTCAGAGCGGGTCATTCTTCTGTTGGTTCTGGACTGGTGTTGGTGGAGAAAGCAGACTGCTCCGTGTGTGGTGTCGCTGTGCCGCTGTCACATCTGTTCCTTGATCTCTGCGTCACCGACCAGTTTGATATTCGTGTGACAGAAAAAGAAAAAAAACGTTATTGTCCAACCGCGGCCGAAAAATCAAGAAGCAACGTTACTACGCTATAATAGATAATCGAGCTGCGAGCTACTGAAAAGCTGCCCGTTGAAGATCGACGTGTTGGAGACCCCTGCTATACACCTTTCCTTCCCTTTAAAAATGGACATTCCTGCTTTTGCCTGTTTTATATCATTTTAAAGTTAAAGTATTTTGGTTCTGACAAAAGAAGATATTTAAAGACCATACTTTGCACGTTGAGAAACTGGGATGTCCATTTTAATATATTTGTAACATTTTATAGACCTAGCATTTAATCCAGAACCATAAATGTAAATTAAACTACCAGGAAATATTTTTTAATAAGATAGTATAAGAAATTCAGGTGTCATAGCATCAATAATAGACAAGTACAACCAATGATAGGGCAGCTAAGAGTACACAGAGATATAATTAATCATATATATATTTTTATTTTTATTTTTAACAACTTTATTTTTCAGTTTTTCACAAATACAGTATGTCCAATATTTATGACAAAATGTTGCAAATCTTTTACACCTTTCTCTCCCTGTGCTTTGTACGCACATATTGTTTTACACCACATTCAGGCTCTGCATGCATGCCACTCTCACTCATTAGCTAATTCCAGCCCTCCCGCCTGACACATGTCACTTCAACTCGCTTCAATTAATTATTTCTGCTCACAGTTGCCTCCCTGTATGTGCGTATGTGTGTGTGTAGAAAGTGTGTATAGACTTCCTTTATTGTGACTACAGCCACATACGCACTGCAGCTTTAACCAGCATCACAATAACCCCGTAATCACAGTGAAAAATGACCTTCAGTCTGTTTACAAAGCTCACAGTGTTTTTCATGCATCGAATCCCAGGAACAGTTCTGCACACATTCAATCAGGAAACAAGGTTTGGCACTACAAAAAAGCATTGCGTTCTTAAATAAAGCCGAGGCTTTTATGCTATTTTTATAACCATCCCTGCGATGGGTTTTATCGTTTTGCTGAGATGAAACTCTTTCCGTCTCCGTTATGTAATGTGGCTTGGCATATGGTATTTATACGTGTTTCTGCACTGGGTATGTGGGAGAGAGCCAGGTCCTTGAGTATGTTGGTGTTTCTTTTCCCGCTGTAGTATACTGGTGGGTATAGCTATGTATATGTTTGGAGGGGGTGTATTGAGAGAGGTTGCATTTTAGCTTTGTTATATACAGTAGCAGAGCTCTGTTTGCGCTCAAACTCTAGAAGAGGGTTAGTGTAGGTTACAGATGCAACAACGAGCTGATAGAAAGATCAAAGGGAATCAAGCGGCAAATATTTAAAAAATCTACACATTTCTACGTACTTTCTATTGCTAGATTGGCAGAAAAAGCTGTTTTCAGGGAGCACAGAGTAGAAGTACAAAAGAGGTGTTTCAGGCAGGGGGGGGGGGGGGGCGGGATTTTCACTTTGGGATTTTAGCTTCTGGAGACCATTTACATACACACACATGTATATTACTACAGGAAAGGGAAACTCCAAAAAAGCACAACAGAGCCTTTTTAACCGGAATCACCAAAACATAATATGACAATTTGGAAGTGCCCTAGTCTTAAAGAGATTATATGATTCTGAAATGGGCCATTTTGTATTCCATTACTTTGGGACATATATTTTACATTTTGATGCCATTACTTTTGTATTGAAACAAAAAACGTTTACTTGTAACAGTATTTAGTGTGGCTTCTTTGACTTAACTATAGTACTTTTTGTATCACTCATTAAACCATTAGTTGTTCTGGCTCTAGATGTGTGATAAATATGTTGATTTGGTATTTATGATTATATGATGAATGTATCCTCTCTTCTCTCCTTCCCCTTCCCCTCTCTTTAAACCAGGAGTCTCCAACCTGATTCAACAAGTGTGTCGCCTCAACAAGGGTCTGCGCCTCCTCAACCTCTCCAAGACCTCCCTTTCCTCCAAGGGTAAGAGACCCCGATCATTACATGAAATGTAATGAATGTCCAAAAACAAATGATGCTCAAAGACACTTTCTATGACTCTGTTTTTGTAGCTGCTGCCCACCATGCAGTTCTATTTTGTCCAGCATTACCTCGCATAGATAAACAGACCCATGCAGTATGACCCATCTACCAAATTAATCCCCTTTAAAACCCCATGTAGGCATTAGTGCAGTGTCCCAATTCTATTGCTCTTATCCCAAACAGCACAACCGTCCACTATTATAGCAGATTCAAAGAGATCACATTTATATACAAATAAATGTTTACAAGAAAATGTATTTGAAAAAAGTGCAGTAAAAATATGACAATTTACTCTGAGAAATCATTTGTACAGAATTAAAACTGGCTGAGTTATGAAAGAGGGTACAGAGTTCTCTGATTTATCTACTTTGACTTGAATGATGATTTTCTTTCATGTACACAAGCAGTAAGCTGTCCTACAAAGCAAAATACAGTATCTATATATGTTTTTGTCCAAATGAACAACAAAACATTTTCCAAATAACAACAGAATCACATTTTTTAGTGTCTGTTGTACCATTTATTGTTAAAATGATTGTTATAACACATTGTTGATTATCTGTTGGAGGGAGATTCTGTTGAAATTCTGCCTCCATGATATAATAGAAGTGACATTTTCTGACTTCCTGTCTGAGAGCTGTTTTCATATATACAGGGGAACAGCTTTGAATGAAAATCGTTTTTTGTGTGTGTGATCTATTGACCTCTTGTGTTGTGCATGGATTCTGGTAACATAGCACAGTGTAGAATACTCTTAGTAATAGATCTGAGTACTTTTTCCACCACTGCGTTTCCAGAAGATTAGACAAAGGTGTTTTATTTAGGGCTCTATAGCGGTACTTGGGGGTCTAAAATAACCAGCCAAAATGCCATAAAAGTGAGGCATTACATCCTTTCTATCTATTACACAATTTGCTCTGAAGCTTGAAAGCTAAACCCTTTTCCCCAGCTCCTCTGGAGTAGGGACTGCTTTCGGCTGAATGATGAGTGTTGCGTATACCGCAGACGACAACCTCGATAACCTGTAACAAATGGAAAGAAAACACACTGGGTGCGATTTTAAACAGCAGTGGGATGACACAGTGATTCAGGGGAACGCAGTGCTGACCTTGAATGGGGGGTGAAGGTATGACTTTGCAGGGGCTGAGCATTACTTTGTTGAATATTTATAGATTTGTCTCCGCCCCTCCTTCCCTTCATCTCTAAAAACAGCTACACATATGCTGAGGCGAGCACGTGCACACACACACACACACACACACACACACACACGCACGCGCATGCAGACACTATCTGTGAGATGTGATCAGATATGCAAAAAGGCAGATATCTCTCACATGCACCCACACAAGAGACATTGATTTGACTTCTTCTACTATTTCTCTGTTTCAAATAATAACACGTTTTTTCAAATTACATTTGATCTAATTTTAATTTAATGTTTAATTTATCTTACAAGATCACATTTTTATTGTTTTATTTTATTCAATTTGATCTTTACTTAGTTTTATTACATTTTGTATATTTAATTTAGTCATCCATTTTTTATTTATATTTTCCTATTTTATCTGAAATAATTTTATATTTAGTTTGTTTTGTTTTATTTGTTTTACTTTTATAATATAAAGAGCAAATGTTGCAAGATACTTATTTTTTTACTTTTGTATTCTTTTTTTAAAAACATTTTTCTTTTATCAATTTAAATTCATCTTTTTATTTTGTTTATCTCTTTTATGCAACTGTTACAAGATCCAATTATTTTCATATTTATTTCTATTTTATTTTATTAAATTTCTTAATTTATTTTATTATATTTCCTTTTCGTTTTTCTTTCTTTTATGTTGTTTTATTCTATAATTGAACAACTCTTACCATATCCTATTTTAGATATTTGTTTATCCTATTTCTCTTATTTTAGTTGTATTATTTCTGATTCACACAGACTTAATGGCTTCTTCAAGTCTGATAGATAGACAAAGTGTGAGGGGGTGGGGGGGATTAGACACCCTGTCCCCTCTTCCCCTCATTTGGCTCCTAATCGCTACAAATTAGGGATGAAGAGCTTAGCGCCTTGCTAGCGTCAGTGCAGCACATGCACTAGCTGGCCTCCCCAATGCCTTAAACAGGAGGAATGTATTCCCTACAACTTAGACTAGTGAACAGATTAATGATGCTTGTAAACTTGTTTTATTTGTCTGTGCTGCTAGATATTCCTCCCGTGTTGTTATTGTGTCTATATTTAATCTTCGACTTGCCTTTCCGCACCGTGCTTTGCATCACTCTTGCAGGGCGAAGATTTTTAACGAGGGCTTCCATCGGGCCCGTGGGTGTAATTGTGTAGTGATCTGATTTTGAAAGAATGATTTTCTGTTGTTTTGGCTTTCAGGGTACATTTGGGTAGCAGGATACAGGGGGGAAAAGTGTCTAGCTTCCTCCTAAAAGCTTCTTTTGATACGGTCACGTCCAGAGGAAAAAAAGATCATTATAAGATCATTAAACTGACTTTGGGATGCATATCATTTGATTATTCAAACTAATTTGCCCTCACCTTTTTATTTCACCTCTATCACGACCCCCCCATTAGGTGTGGTTACTTTGTCCCAGGCGTTGTGTTCAAGTGACGACTACTCCAATTCTCTACTGCATCTGGACCTCAGTAAAAACCCCGGGGTTCTGTCTGGAGAGGACGCAACAGTAAGGAAACAAATACCATTCAGAAGTTTTGAGATACCTAACTTCGTTTTTCCATTTGGTTGTTTCTATACACATTTTTTGTTGTGCATAACAAAACCCGAGTGAAAATGACGTACATTAAAGAAAGAAAGAAGTTTCCAAAAAGTTGTTGAGGTGTCAAATGTCATGTTTTAGATCAAATATACTTTATTTATCCGAAAATTGAAGGTTGTTTTGTTAAAGCAGCATGTTAACAACGCCTTGCACCCCATTTAAAAGTTCTTCTGCATTAGCTTCAAATAAACCAAGTGCTACGTAAATGTTCTGACGGAGACATAATACTTGCAATAAGCCAAGTCTGGAACCTGTGTCTAAGGGCTTAAAGAATCTTAGAGGTTTTGTACTCTCTTGCACTCAAAGTAAACATTCACAATGGTTTTTCATTGGACATTTGGACCATAAATGGTTTAATGTAAACCGTTAGCATTCTTCTTTCAAAGAGAATTAGGAAAGCAAAGGGTTTCCTGTTATGAACCAATGATTATACCATCAGTAAAGCTAATGAACCAATGATTATACCATCAGTAAAGACATTTACCAATCAGAGGATCAGTGGTTTGATCCCACCAGTGTTTTTAGTCAAGATACTTAACCCTAAATTGTTCCCAGCGTTATGTCTATGGTATTGAAGTGTATGTAAGCTTTGGATCAAAGCATATGCTAAATAACATGTGTTCTAATGTACAGACCATTTATATGTGCTTGTATTTTCTTCCTTTATCTGTTCTCTAAAAGACATTGTCCTTGTTCCCCTGCAGAACCTGTACATGTTCCTGGCCCAGCCCAACTGCCTGGTCCACCTGGACCTCTCTGGGACAGACTGCACCGTGGACTCGGTTAGTACGCTCTGTCTCTGTTACAGTTGATATCCAGCCATTGCTGTCTGAATTCCCCTTTAGGATAGGATTCAGGCCAAGAAACAGAAAGTGGGTTTCGTCCTGAATAAGAATCGCTCTCCTCACAAAAACAATGCTAACTCACAGTCTTCCTCCGAGCTCCTCTGTGCATAATGCTTTTAGTGATGCTCTCAAGATGCACTACAATAGAAACACACAGCCTCTTATGAATTATACAAGCAGAACATCATCTGAATTGCATCCAGGAGCTTTTGTTTTCAGGCGTTTGTTCAAGTCTTTGTCACTTCAGAGGGATGACTTTGTCCGTGTTGTAACTGCGGCTAAATTTAGCACGTCTGCCACTCTGACAAAACGGTGTCTCGCCGCATTAGCAGATACAAGCTCACAGCTGAAAGGATGACGGAGCTTTCTCTCTTTCTCTGAAAGAGTTCAGTGACCACGCTCGAGTGAGCCTGCCCCTGCTGGATACCGCTGACATTGCAGTTATTCTTGTCAATACACAAAAATGTTCTAAGTTACAGATGTACTCGGGATGTTTTTCGTCTCCGTGTCCCTCTGGAAGATGTAAGAGGTTTGTGAAGAGAGCCAGCTCACATTTGTTGTTTGTGTCCCGTCGTCAGTGCTGCATTGCTGCTGACAGGAGGGCGTGCAGCAGGGACCTGCAGGGATGGAAAGAACAGACAGAAATATCTGATTTATTGTGTTCTTCGTTGCCGGGAGATAAGAGGTCAGTCAGCCAGAGATTTACTCTAAGCTATGCTGTTGCTCAGTGACACCACGGCAGTGAATTCTCAGAGTCCACACTCTCTATATTGCCATGTAGCCTCACACCAACCTTTTTGCCTTCTTAAAGGGGCCCTATTATTATTATTTTTGGGGTCCACTACCCCCCTGCCTGAAACGCTTCGATTGTAGTCCTTTGTTTACTTCTGTAACATAGTGACATCACTATGGGTTAAATGCACTTGCGCTTCCATTGGCCAACACACTGTACGTGATTTGCTAAGAGGCGGGACATCTCTAAGCGGTTGACCGATCAGACAAGAGCCGGCTAGCTAACCAATCGGACTGTGTTCTTCCCCTTGATGGAAAGTAACTTACCCAAGGTACGGTACTTCAATATTGTTTGAAGTTAAAACAAGTACTTCTTTGCTCCACTACATTTTAGAGTACAATTTTGAGCTTTTTACTAGTTTTTTTGATTATTTGTCATACAAAATATAATATAATTGGCTTCTAATACTTTTTGAATTAATAAATTATTTAAATCATAATCCTACTCAAGTTGTTTTTCTCAAAGTGTAAGCCAAATTTGTATTTCTCTTTTTTCATTGAAAGCTCAGATACAGCTCAGGCACAATGGACAGTAAAACAGTTATGCTGCGTTCACACCGGACACGGTGCGAATATTCGCATCCCTCCAATCGCTGAAGTTTCACCGCGGCTTGCAGTTTGTTTTATCGCGTCATTCAAAACAGACATACCGTTGACGCGCCGCGCCGTTGACGGACAGTTGAGGTTGTTTACACTTCCATGCAAGATCATTTTGGTTATTTCTATTGCTGCTTTGTACCTTCTGTGGAAGTGCATCGTATATCTCCGGGAACCCACTCACAGCCACAACGATCATCTCTTCCATCTTTACAACTGATCTACAGCAGGACGTCAGAGGGAATCCCAACGCGTCACGTGAATTTGACGCTCGAGTTGAAAAAATTGAACTCTCGCATTTGACACGGCCCCCTTCAATCGCCTCAATCGCGTGATTCGCGCCGCGTCCACCGCTTCATGCTCGCCGTCGGAGTGAATTTGCGTCTGTCCGCGTCTCTGCATTGACTTTAAATGTAATCGCGCCACCCCCAAACATCGCATCGCGTCCGGTTAACACAACATAAGGCTGATTACAAACAGTGATTTAAGATTTTAATGCGTTCATATTTTTGATTGCCTTTAACGAGTGGGAAATTGTATCCGGCAAAATAATGCCGTATTCTGCCACTAACAATAATAACTACCACATAAATAATACTATATCGAATGAAAGGAACCATTCTGTTGAGTATTTTTACTTCTGTTACTGAAGTGCATTTCTATGATAATACTTCATTTTTCTTATAGTAGTAAGTATGTTTATCGACGGTCGTGTATTACTACATTTTAAAGTTAAGGATCCAAATACTTCTGTTACTCTCACCTTTGGCTTTTTCTTACTACAATGCCTTGCGACTCACTGTGCGTGTGTTTGCCCTTTAGTCCATTTTAAACCCCAAAGAGCAGTCAGCTTGTCAGCCAGGGATCTCTTTCAGCAGGGGCCATCAAGTGAGTTTTGAATTATGTGCATGAGTGGAAGACGTGCATCCATTCTGCCTGATTTGACACTTCTTCAACTTTGTCCCCTCGTACTTCTCTTTAAAAATCCTCTTGAGACAAAAAAGAGAACTCCCTGTGATAGCTGCGTTTTGGTAATTGTCGTTTATCCCGTTGTGAGAAACTGTCTCTTTTAGTGTTGGCCTGTTGCATTGAATTATTAATAAGTTCCTGTTTTAATCTGCGTTGATGCACCGACAAGGGTCGATTAGTCAATTTGCGTGATGGATGGCACTGCCAGGGTAAAATGGATTTGTCCGATAGTTTAACCTCTCGCCAGCGATTAGATGCTGCTCAAGTCTTACGAGAAATGGGGTTTTGATGCCCTAAAACTCTCTCCTGTCCAATAAACACAAGTAAATCATCTTTATTTCAACATTAATTGGGTCGCTAACACAGATATATTAATTTCTGTACCTTCCAGAGCCCTGCAGAGTTTGAATTTGAGCCTTACCTTCCCAAGATAAGAGCGGGATTGGTTATGCACTTTGATGGATGGTACATGAATGCTTCATGATGACACGCTGATCGTATAGTGACACAGAATAATTCATTTTTTCCAGTGGCTCTTTTTCTATACTTAATGTGAATCTTGACATTTGATTAATATTAATTCTTAACTCATCTAATTTGCTGGTATGGTTTCAGCTCTATTCTGATTCAGTTTAATACAATTACTCTTCTTATTGCCCATTCTGTCCCGCTATCGGGAATTCGTAGGCTCGCTCTGACCGCCCTTTCCGTACACACTTTGAAGTACTGGTAGGAGCACAGTATCTGCTATATTTAGCTCTGTTGCTGGAGCAAGGGAGCAATTACCCTGAAATGGGCAAGAACATAAAAATGTCCAACTATATGGGCCTAAATAACTCAAATTCATGGTTTCATTTCAAATATGTCTTTCATTTTCCCATTTAGGGACATTTTTATTCAACAATCTCGAAACATTTCAAAGATAAAGCATGGCTCAAACAGGGGCAATGATGGTCTTTTTGTATTCCCCTCTAGCGCCACCATGAGGTTGACATGTGGTACACACACTCGTGTTCAAACTTTTTTCCTGTAGTGCCATGTCTCAGATTTGAATCTGTCTGCATTTTTTGTTTTATGCCCATACCTGTACTTTGTGCTTACATTCTAAACACAAATTGTGTCCATTGTTAAATGTTATACCTGTATTTGGCGCATTTATTGGTAGCCAAAGTTCTGCTTAACAGAGCTGCTAGCATGGCGGTAGACTCTTGCTTTTAGCATCACACTTAATTTAAAAATGAAAAAAGAGCCTGAGCAGTTGTTAGGAATTTGTTCACTCAATAAAAGGGTAGAAAATAATATTTGTCCGGTGCCTTGCTCAAGGGCACCACGGCAGGGCCCAGGAGGTGAACTGGGACCTCTCCAAGTAGCAGTCCACACTCCTTATTTAGGTCTGTTCGGGGACTTGAACCAGCGACCCTACGATTCCCAGTCCAAGCCCCGACTGACTGAGCCACTGCCAGCATTTGATGGAAATACCTATGATCTCATTGGAATCAATTGAAAAGAGACCCTTGCACTCAGAAAAAGGCGCTATGTGGACACAGGCCCTTAGTTACTACTGTACTTGAGTAAATGCTACTTTCCACCACTGCTTACAGCTGACCACCAAATATATGTGTCATACACTACCAGAGCCAAATCCCTCTATCAGCATTTCCCCGACAGCACTGAGTTGCAACAATTTAGGGTCTCGGATGAAAATAAATCAGTGCCTTGCTCCAGTGCACAAATTAAGACAGCAGCATTTTAATTGGAACAAATAATGTGGTTGTTTTGACCCGTGTTTCTTCTGAAATAAGGTATTCTTCCACATCACTTGTTTCTTCCTCAACTGTCGAGTAACTACATGTTCATTATACTTGTGTCCGTGTGATTGCAGAAACGTAATGAGAAATGTTGCATCATCTCCCATAAACCCTTACCATATGGCCCAGAAAGGATCAAATCAATCCTAAAACAAATAGCCAAGACGGCTTTGTCCTGATTTGACCAGATGTAACATGTCATTTGTTCTGCTCTATTATTTTATATTTGTACTTCTTGCCCCAATCTGCAGAGTCAGGCTTCTACAATATTCTATAATCTAATGCCATCTATAATGCACCAATGACACATTAGGGGACATTTTTATTGATGAGGCTCCTGCCAAGGAAGAAATACAGTTCAGAGGCATCACTTTTTTTAGCGTGTTCGAAATGCATTTGTGTCATATTTAATCTGCGCTATACTCGTTTGTGCTGTGTTCAAGAGCCAAGAAAACTGTTATACAACACTCTCTGTAGAGAACAAAACTCATTTATCTCTCTGTCTTTCTGTTTTCTTTGCCAGTTGTTTGGGGCCTTGCTGCGAGGCTGTTGCGCTGACCTCTCCTACCTGAACCTCTCCAAGAACTCCTTCTCTCACAGGTGGGCGTCATCTCCACTGTAAACCCTTTTGTTGATGTTTTTTTATTTTAAATAAATGTAGTTCCCTTCTGACTCAGCCAAACCGCTCTGGAGATATTCCAGTCAGGAGCAGAGCAAGCATCCTCATTTATTTCCCGCCGCAGATTAGCATTTGGCCCTGGACCTCGCTAACGTAATTAGCGTGCATGCTTGGCTCGCCCCCGTAACTTGTTCCGACTCGCTGCATATAGTACACTTTGCCTGCAGAATGAGTTCCCGTCTGTCTCTCAATGTACACATGTCTCTGTTTGCTAACAAGTTTTCCATCTGTCAAGCACTTGTTAGCGTGCCCACAAGTCTTTTGTCTTTTTTTATTGTGTTTGTGTTTACCTAGCTATCAGGCAGTCAGGCCTCATCATGTTGAGTCCCCCAGGTGCCCAGGAGCTTCTCTGCTCAGCATATTACATTACAGAATTACTGGGGAAGGAGTCGGTTGAAAAATGATGGGAATTATGGTTCCAATCCCCAGGCACCCACGCCTGCATGTTTCTCTCACTTTCTCCCTCTAATTGTTTCATTTCTATCTGCTTTGTTCTTCAGTCCATCTTCTACTTTTTTACCTTTTTACATTTTTTGTAACAATCTTGCCTGGTTAAAACTGATAAGTAAAATTTAAAGAGGCCCTATTCTGCTCTTTGGGGTATTCCCTTTGCCATAATGTGTTTTATATAGGGTTTCTGTGCATGTAAATGGTCTGCAAAGGCCAAGATCCCAAAGTTCCCTCCTCAAATGCCTCAAATGTAGTCCTTTGTATACATCAGCGACATAGTGACATCACTACCTTACACTTGCGCTTCTATTGGCTAGTGCCCCAACACATTGTACGTGATAGGCTTCTGTCATATCACAACAGAGCCGGCCAGCTAACCAATCAGAGCAGACTGGGCTCTGGTTTCAGACAGAAGGGGAAAAAAGGTGCTGCAGCACAGGCAGTATGAGAAAAATAAAGAGCTTTTTGAACATTAAAGCATGGAGACATGTCACAGTAGAGACACTACATACAAACACGAACCTGAAAATTAGTATAATAGGGCCCCTTTAAAGGTTCAGATATAATGCAAGTGCGATACTAAAGGCAGGTGATATTTGAATTGACATTAGTGCAGCAGTTTTGTTTGTGAACTACAAAACAGACCAAAAGTTAGCATTTCAAAATATCAGAAATTAGATTAAAACAATATACTTACAAATAATTTGAACAATCTTGAAAACAAATTATAAAAAATAAGTTAAAGGTCTACATATAATAATAATAATAATGTATTGCTAATGGGAGGTCATAATTAAATATACGTTAGGAGAGCAGCAACTAAAACTACAAAGGGACCAAAAATAAGCGTTGAAAAATCATATCAAACTAGATTCAAACCAAATCTGAAATATACTTGGGGGGGGTTAGGTGAGGTGAGGTGACGTGCAACAACAACATTAACCTTTCTGTTGGTCGCTTGTGAGCAGACCCTTCACGCGATGGCAGAGCGAACGGGTACAGCCAGGGCCGGACCGAGACAATAAGTCAGGCCGGAAATTATACACCCAGCCAGCCCACTACCAGTTTCTTTTTGTGCCATTTCGCTGGATTTATTTGTCAATATTTACAGCGTTGCTGCCCATAGTGATAATAAACATATGGACATGGGTTACTATTTAAATACAATTGTAAATGTATTTAGGAACCTGCCCATGTGATTTTAAGTGGGGGTGGACCTCAAATCCTCTAGGGGGGTCCGGGGGCATGCTCCCCTGTTAAGATTCTTATTTTTTATGTTGGAGTTAAATGCATCAATCTGGTGCACTTTGAGGGGAAAATAAAGAGACTAGATCTATGGGAACACCTATATGAAACAGAACTGTATACATTTCAATAATCATAAAATCATGGCCATAACCAATAATATACCATTTCCAATATGAAAAAACACTGAAACTTGTTTATTTATTTATTTTTGTGTCTGGGCTCCTGAATCAGCCTCACCTGTCTCCCCCCTCTCCCTCCTCTCCCTCTTCTCCCCCCTGCTCCTCTTTGAGGCAGCAACAAAGACTAGTTTTAGCTCTCAACAAGTTTTAAAAGTGTATCTTACCTTTTTTCCCCGTATTCATGCATTTTTTACTAATCACTACCCCCTCAAATGGAAATATGTGTTAACATAAATGGTGACCAAACCATTTGAGACCCACTGAGAACTTAGACTAAGTTAACTATCTAAACACTCAGAGTCCTTTACCTCACCTGAGCTGAGGTTATCCCGAGCTTGAATGACACACAGAGACCAATCAAGGGCTTTGATTTATGATCTGTATGACAGTGGCCATGTCGGCAGGCCACATCATGTAGACAGCCAGTCACCCTGTGTGAGGCAGACCCACATTTGCGCAGCGTTGCGTTCACAATACATTAAAAAAATATATATATATATGTATATATATATATATATATATATATATATATATATATATATATGTGTATGTATATATATATATATATACCTGGGCGGCCGTTAATATACCTGGGCCGCCCGCCCAAGTAAAGTCTATGTGTGGGAAACCCTGGAAACTCTTTTACTTTTTGCATTTCCTATCTCTTTTTTTTTCATCTTCCCTGCTACATTTCCCTTCTGTGAATCCAGGCTCTTGCTGGGGCTCTTGACCACACAAAACTCATTTCTCATGAGATTGCATTTCCCAGCATTCCACTCGCCTTTTCCTGGAGACCTCCACACTCCATCCATCTTCTGTACTTTTTTTTAAATCCCTTTTTCCATTACTATTTTTTTCTCACCTCCTCATCTTCCACTTATATTCCCTTCTCCTCTTTTTCCTATCTGTCATTCCTCCTCCCTCTTTCTCCACAAATCTTCCCTCCCTCCTCCTCCCCCATTATGCCTCCCTCTCTTCATAGTTCATCCCACCACTGGCCGGTCATGGGGCCTCTGATATTAAATGCTCAGTTCTGCCGGTCAGACGGAGCCACAAAGCTGAACGGAGCTGATAAGAAACCCCCCGGCTGCCGCTAATGCATATGGAACAGACTCCCTCAGAACCTTTACATGCACACACACACTCTCGACGTTCGAGATACAATGAGCAGCTCATATAGATACAGTTACACACATGTACACGTGGGGTAACAAGCTGCTGATACGCCCCCCTGGAGTGTGTTTTGTGAGGGAGACAGTGACACAGTATCTGCTCATGCGACAGAAGCCTTTCTGTATCAGCGCGGTCCTGACAGGCGGTATGCTAATCGGTACAAATGGGTCAAAGAAAAGCTGCTGTTCCACACACTGGGAGGTTATCACAGTAGCAATGACAGGGGCTTGTAAAGCAGCCCCATCTTAATGTATTCTTCTTATTGCCTTCCACTATTACTCACTCTCTAATGACCGTTTCCCATCTTTCTCCTTCGTAACTTGATATTCTTCTACCCTTTTCCCCCTAATCTATCCAAAATGTTCTTTTATTCATTTCCTCACATACCGTTTTATCATCTGTGTGGGGAACATTTCAGAGCATTATGAAAGAATCGATTGTAGTTGCAACTTAAAATCAACTGCTGTCTACAGAAAGGATATTATAATACTTGCAAGTATGTGTGGCGTATTTGGACACAAAAGAAACATTCATTTAGAAAATTCAGAAACACAAGCACATCAGTCTAACGTGGCTGATTTCTGTCTGCTAGGTCTAATAAGTGAAACATCTGCTTGAACATTCATTTACATACTTAAACTTGCACAAAACATAACATTTCAAAAAGTGTGCTTGCTATTAACCTGCAAAACACACTGACTGACGCTATTCAGCACTCGTACTCAACTTATTATTCAGCGTACTCCATATTAGCAATCATATTGTGTAGAACCCCCTTTTGCAGCCAAAAATACCATCTCCATGAAGGGGTGTACTTGGTCTGCAACAATTTTGAGATGGGTGGTATGTGTCAAAGTAACATCCACATGAAAGGCAGGACCAAGGTTTCCCAGCAGAATATGAATACTAATATTACTGAGGGCCTCATATATGGCGTCCTCCTTTAGAGTGGCACCCAGAAGTCAGCAACAGACATCAGAGCAAAGTAGGTCTTCAAGTTCCTAAAACATCATCTATGCCAGGTGCACCCTATGCAACAAACCCAAATCATAGAAATGTTTCTTTGCAGAATTAAAAAAACATATAATACAATGCATTGTAATATACAGAGCCCCTAAAGGGACATGGAACAAATAAGACTCGGGATAACGGTTTAAGAGACATAAAACAAATATGAGAAATAAAATAAAGTCAGGATAACGGGTTAGTTTCTCGTGCGCACGAGAAACTAACCCGTTATCCTGACTTTATTTTATTTTTTACTTTATTTTTTTTTGAGAAAGTTACCGGTGCGCCAAGGAGGAAGTGGAGCACACAGGAGACAACCATTTCATTGCAGACTGTTATGTTTACGTAGCGAAATGACAGTGCATACATTATTTGAGATATATTTCGAACTCAGACTTCATTTTAAGGACATTTCGGCCAGAGGGGTAGTGTTTAAAAACGTAGCAGCCTGCGGTCACTCCAGGAGGCGGCGGGACGTTTGACTCAGACTCTGAGAAGAGCAGCACCAGCGCGCAAAGAGCTTTTACGCACTGCCTACACTCATTACATTCATCCGAACAGCTAAAGAGTGACCGCAGGCTGCTACGTAACGTTTTAACCACACACACACACACACACACACACACACATACACATCTACACACACACACCTCTACACACATCGAACTGCCCGATTACTCCCCCTTTTATTAGTTTTATGAAGGAGATGTCCGGTCACCAGGGTGCATGATTGATGTGAATCTGTTTGTGCTCTGCTCAGCTCCGTGTGCATGTGTTCTGAATGTTTGTTTCCCTTTAAACCAGCTGCGGGCAGCAGGTACTCTGAGAGTCACGGACATTAATTCATAGATCAAAGCAGACTG